TTTTTTTGCAATGTATAATTTAAGGTGATAATTGTTGAAATAAAAGGGATATAAAACTATAGGTGGCCACCAAGGTGGGTCGGGGCGGGTCAGACACAGGGCACAGGTCGGGGAAGGTCGACCCGCCCCGAAATGGGTCAGGGCACGAGCCCGTCCAGTTGGACCCGTTGCGGGTCACGGGGCAGGTCAGGTCCACTGGGTAAAAACGCGGGCCAGATCTGGGTCCGCAGGTACCGGCCCGACATGGCCCATTGCCATCCCTATATCCAACATAGTTCCGTGATCAGACTTGGTATTTCAAAATGTCTAGAAAAGAATTTAATTGTATACAATAGGAAACATGCAATGTGAGTTTAGCAGCAGAGGTGGATTATTGAAAAAATGTTATAAGGGGAAAGGCTTAAGGAGCTTTAATATACTCAAGCTTTATAAATTCATGAGATGTTCTAAGGATATCATAAAAAAGAAGTATAAATATCCTGAGAACCACAAATACAAATAAACAATAAGAACATAAAAACAAAGGGACAAGGACAGTACAGGTACAGCAGATCCTAAAATGCAGATGTGATATTTGTGTTTTACTGATTGATTCCTAAAGGGTAAAACCAATTCATAAGAAGATTGTGGATAGTACCATTATCTAACACATCATGTATGGTTAGTACCTTCCTCAATGTTTGATACTCCTGGAAGAACTTCTGCTAGAATCTCTGCTTCCAACATCTCATGAAACGAAGCATACTTCCGGGTATCCTGGAAATACAGAGTTTTAGTAAAGGAGACTCAATTTCACACACAGAAATCAATGGAACCTACTAGCACCTTGACTTCAAGTGTCAGGCATTTGTTGAATAACAGCAAATCTCCGCCCTGAATTCTAGTACCAAAAGGAGACAAAACATTGGACGAGACAAAAAGAGACGTCAATGATAGCCTTATATAAAGAAGTGTAAGGAAAGAAAGAAACAAAAAGAAATTACATGTATAAAGGTTTCAAGTACAGTTTTACCTGCCTAAGTACCCTGATACAAAGGATTTTTTGTTCCAATATTACGTCATAAACATTGTCAATGATGACATTCTCGATTAACATAATTATTCAGAAATCAATTGGAAGCAGAATCAACCCATTCAGGGAGTAAGTGATCACATTGTCCACAACTTATTCTATAGTTTAAACGAACCAACGGAAGTTACCGTGAAGGTTCTGTATTTAGTTTACTGTGCTGGATATAATTTCACATGCTTTAAGTTAAAAACATGACAATGATACTTAGCTCTACTCAATAACATAGTAATTAAGTTTATTAGCCCATAAAAAAATCTAGATAACAGGCTAGGGCAGGGTTTACCTCTTGTAGTTGAGTGTCAAATAACTTAAATTGAGTTATACCTATTGTAGTCTCCAACAGCACATCGTCCTTCAACTGTTTTCAGTCCATCTGTATACAAAGAAAATTTTTGTCTTAAACAAGTCAGAAAGTTTATGAGAGTGAATGATAAATCAACAACAATTATGCTAATATATAACCATAAATAGTAAGATTCAGAACCAACTAATTGATACCATTGAGCTGGGAAAAGAAAGGCTCCTGAACATGAAGCTCAAAATCCACTTGTTTCAGCATCTATAAAAACACAATCACACAATTGATTGAATAGAAGAGCTTTGCTATCGTCTCAAAAGTTAACACATCAACTAAATAGAATCTTCAGTCTCACACTCAGTAAAGAAGAACCCTTTTCCATAACTAGCTTGTTCCATTCTCCGTCCTTATTCTTTAACGAACGATCTTCAGGCATGGGTATAATTTCTTTATGTGTTGTGCACAATGTTCCAAAATGTATTAACTGATAAAGCGAGGCTGCCAGGTGCTTGTATAAAGGATATGATGGAACTCCGCTAGAAACTCCTATTAAACATGAAACTAAAAATCATTAGTAACTAAATGTCACGCAGAGAGATATCTAGACCATAACCTTTGAGAGGTCTAAGAGGGCAAGTTGATTAAATCCAGAAAATTAAAAGAGCCAATCATGATTTGTTCACGCATTCTCAGAGCCAACACTACAACAACTTCATTTCTAGACATAAAAATTTCAACCCTAAGTGTCAATATGCATTGCCTCCTTATTCGACAGCTCATACATAAATGGAAAAAGAAAAATGTGGTTACAATGCCAAATACAAGTTTCTCATGCTCAAACAGACAGATTTTTTTATAAGTTTGGGATATATTAGGCATTGTTATATGGAACTGATGAAGGCAAAGATTGCTCATTGAGCTTCATTCTGCTCTTGTCTAATACTCTCTTGTAACTGTATTCATATATCTGCCCTGTTTTCATATTTGTACTATCTTGTTCGACACGATACAGTAAGCAAGAAGCATTTTCTCCCCAGTGAAAAAACTGAAGTCCATCGGTCACTAGAACCACTACAAACAGATTATGATTTTCGTGTTCCATTCCTCCTCACCATATGAAAATGCACGGCATCATAAGATTATGAAAAGGGGAAGGAATTTCGATCACTACTGGTGCTCAAAATGTAAAAGCTTGAATGAAAAAGCAAAACCCTAAAATTTTAGGAGTTGGGAAAGCCGGTAGCAGTTGTATACCGTAGTCGGCGAGAATGGGGTTTGCAGGATCGTCGTGTTCAAGGAGCTTGGCACAATAATGAACAGAGAGGCCGGTGTGGATTCTGCCATTAATGGAGGAAAGGAGCGTGAATTTCAGTAGTTCCTCTAGGCAGTCTCGCAGCTGGACCGGTGGAACTCCGGGGGACGAAGGAGGTGACTCTCCCATGGACTTGCTTGCCGGTAGCTACTGTAGGGATTATCGTTCACTATAGTGTGTGTCAGTGTGTGTACGCAAAAATTAATTGAGACAATAATTCATATTTCAAAATTACAAAATCAAATAATTAAGAAATGGATCTAAAAAATATCGAGTCAGCTATTCCAATAGATATCTCCACCTAAAAAAAACCAATATATCTAATTATATAAATTATTAATATGAAATTAATATTGTAAACACCAATATACCTAATTATCACATTGTCATATTCTATCTTTTTATATATTTTTTTATATTCTCAATCTAAGGGCTTGATTGTTTATGGAATAATTTGTTCAAAATGAATTATTTTGGTTAACCATAGTTAATTTGAAAAAAGTGTATGATTAGCTGTTAGTGGAATTTTAAGAATGTATTAAAATGATTGAAAATGATTAGAAATGATAGGTAGTTAAAATTATGTGAGTGGATGAAAAGTGAATTAAAGTTGATGTGATGTGTAAAAATGATTATTCTGTATTATTTAATTATATGAATAATATTAAAGATGGTGGAATTGAGTTAACGTTGAGTTAAATTTTGAGTTGAAATAAAAGTGAGTAAAATATTTGGTAAACAATCAAGCCCTAAATGTTATGCTGCAATATTCATTTATTAATCTATCTATATCTATATCTATATCTATATCTAATCTAAATCTATATAAAAAGAATAACTATTTACTAAATACAGTAGTAAAAAAAATCTGACAACATTTAATACATTCCTTATTTGGAAGCTTTACAAATATGTTCATTAATTGCTTGAATATGCATATTTCCAAATCAAATATGATCAAAAAAATTATTTCTTTTAATAATTTTATTAACACAATAATTATATTGATATCTATTATAGTAAACTACAAATTTGATTTTCCGTAATTCATGTATGTAATTTTTGTCAACATAAATATGAAAATAAATTTTAAGTCTTAAATGTAGTATTAATTTTTTTTTTCTTAACGAAACGATAGAGATATTATAAAACAAAAGGCACAAACGTGCAAAGATACAACTCGTGGTTGAATGAAACGACCCTAAGCTGAGTAAAATGAGAGGACAAGTCTGCGACCGCCTAGAAACCCGACACTAGCAACGCTAGAAACCGAAAAACAAACTCAAGAAACAACACCACCACGAATCACAAAAAACTATAACGAAAAGCTCCCCACAACAGAATAGAGAAAAGAGTTGCTTTCCACAGGAGAATAAATTTTCTCCCTCTCTGATGGAGACGAGATCGCGATGGCGTTTATGGACAAATACGATCGAATTCCGGCGCTAAAATAATTAATTATTCGCATAGTATTTATTCCTAATATTTCTTATTTATCTTTTATTCCTAATATTCCTTATTTATCTTTTTATTATTAGGATGATGTCTATCTTTTAGTATTAGAAATTGGTCAGTAAGTTAAGAGTTTAGGAGTGTTGGAGTCTATTTATGTTGTGTAAACTGATGGAAACGTCCTGTTGCAGAATAATAAGAATTTTATCTGCTTGAGATTTATCTCTTGTTCTTGTTCCTTTCGTCTGCGCTACGTCAGTTGGTATCCGAGACCAGTCACGATCCAAGATGCCTCCCAAGAGAAATGATGCCGATGAACGGAGAGACGCTGCCATCGATTTGCTGCTGCAATGAAGCGAAATGTCTGATCGATTCATGGCTAATTTCACGACGAGGATTGATGAAATTGCACTGGCCGTCAATACCGGCCCTCAAGGCAACTAGGCGAACTGAGGCCGCGGCGGACGGCTCGGGAGAGCGCGCGGGGGTCGTGGCCGGGGAGAACGCGGGGCGCCCCGCAACCGGTCTCCTTCTTCGTGGGTTGGCAGCGGTGACGACGACAACACCGTTTCTGAAGTCAACCCTTTTGGACATCGAGCTCGTGAAGATGATGATCCGGACAAGGAGAAGCGCTGGAAATCGTCTTTTCGTGTGAAAATTCCAGAATTTACCGGCGGCCTAGAGGCAACGGACTTTCTGGATTGGATGGCCACAGTCGAGTCCGCTATCGACTTTAAAGATTCTAACAAATTTGCGGGTAGAACTTGTCGCGACCCGATTACGCGATCGGCCGCTGCATGGTGGCAGCAACTTAAGGCGTCCAGACGCCGTATGGCAAAATCGAAAATCACTGATTGGGCCAAGTTCCGTAAACATCTCGACCGTGAGTTTCTCCCTTACAATTATATGCATACTCTTTTCAAGCAATTCCAAAATCTGAGGCATGGACAACCTTCAGTTAACGAATATACCGAGACGTTCTATCGTCTTCTCACGAGATTGGATGCCCGAGAGACACCGGATCAACTCATCTCCCGTTATATTGGAGGACTTCGATTACCGATCCAGTACACGCTTATCTTGTTCTCTCCGGATTCTATTTCCGAAGCCCATCAACGTGCTGTTTTGGTGGAACAACAACTCGAGCGACGATCGTCTTCTTCTTTGCTTCCAACGGCCAGGACGGGTGGTCATGGTGCAGCGATGGTGCCGGCGGGGCAGTCCACGACGATTGGGCCTGGTGGCAGCGCGGGAGCTGGTACTTCCGGCACAGGGCGCACAACGGCAACGGGTTTTGGCCCTCCTGGTGCTGCGACAGGTTCTCAGCAGAACACACGAGTGTCGGGCGGGCTCCGATGTTTTTCATGTGGTGAGGTAGGCCACCGACAGTCGGCGTGTCCTCGACCCGGCGGTGGTCGAGCTTTATTTGTTAATGACGTGGATGATCAGGGTGAGCCTCCGTTATATGACGCCCCTCCAATTTTTTACAAAGAGCCCGAACCGGTTGAAGAACACATATACGAAGATGTTGGTCGTGCTTTGGTTCTTCGCCTTTCGTATATATCCCCTCAGGTCTCGTTGGAGGACCCTCTCACTACACCTCTTCCTTGTGTCATGGCAACCTCAGACGTCACCCATGCGAGTGCTCTCGAGCAATATGTTCGTTCTTTGAAGGATCTCGAGGTTCCTTTGCATGGGGAGAATGCCTACATTATGGAAACACATGATGGTGTGACAACTCAAGTAAATGGTGATGCTGCTACAAATCCTGCTGCATCATCTGCTAGGAGAATGCTTGTAGTTCCAAAACTGAGTAATTGTGGTTTGTGAGGGTTTGATGACTACAGTAAGTATGAGGTGTCCAAATTATGGATGATTGGGCATACTGTGGGTGAAAAAAATACAGAGCGGGTGGGTTGTGGACATTCATGGGCTTTTGGTGTTGGTTCCAAATGCTATAGTGGTGACCCTATTATGCATGCTTTTGATGGGAATTTATTTGTTGCCAATGGTATTGAGTTTGAGGTCGGTCATTATGTATGGGCGGTCTTGACAGCGGACAACTTTTCGGCTAGCACATTGTTTAGTATAAATTTGGTGGGCAAGGGATAACCGAGCTACCCGACTAGGGTCGATCTCTAAGGAAGGCTATTCGGAGCTTTGTCTACTAAATGATCGTCCAAATCACAAAAATTAAAAATAAAATCCTAAACATTCTAAACAATTGATTGGATGGTTGATTAACACTAATCGAGCACTTAAAAACGAGCAATTAATTGAAAGCAAGACCAAAAGGCGAGCATTTCGCAAACTAGATCACCGGAGTCTCATGCCATAACCAATACGGGATGAAAATCAATCGACATACGGAATAAATGAGCTACGAGCATTAGATTGCTAACCCTAGTCGTCTAACCGAGATCAACAAGTAATTAACGGCTCTATCTACTCAAGCAAGCAATCAAGTTCAAGCATTTCCACCATCATCAATCAAATCCAATTTACTCTAATAAGCATTATAAGTAAAACCGGAGTAAAAACGAAGTAAATAGCTTTAAAACTAAATACTCAATCTTCCATTGCGTAGATGATGAAAAACGGAGTCAAAAGCTCAAAACTTGAACAAAACCGAAGTCGCCGGAAAATCTCCCGGAAAATAGCATAAGCTCCTAATTTAGAGAGCAAAAATTAAACATAAGCTAGTTTCCCAAAGAGGAAAAGTGAAAAATGAGGGAATTATTTCCAAAATGCAAAGGAACAAAAATATTTATAGGCCACACAAAACACACACTAAAACATGCAGATTAAAATGGGACACTCTCGACATAGCTACAAAATCCACGAGCTCGCGGCGGTGAAATGCACAGGCGCACGAGACTGGGCACACTCTCAATCTCGCCGGGAGATCCGCGAGTGCGCAGCAGGTGGGCATCGTGCGCTGGGGTGCGGGCGTTGCTGGTGTGCGCGGACACTCTCGACCACGCAGCGCTTTCCGCGAGCGCGGACGTCGGCAGGAGAACACTCGCGAGGTCGCGTGCCTTTCCGCGAGGTCGAGAGTTGTGATGGCGCGGAGTCGCAGCAAGCATGCGGTGCGCGGGTGACGGGCGGCAACACTCTCGCGCTCGCGCGCGGATCCGCGAGGTCGCGAGTGAGCAGGCAGTTGGCATGGTGCGCGCGGGTGGAGAGCTCTTGATCTCGCGCCTAGTTCCGCGAGCACGCGGCGTGCTGTGCGCTGGGACGCGCGACTCTCGACTAAGGCTCAAAACACTTGGTTCGAAATGGTTCGTGCGAATGACTCAGAATTGACTTGGGACCTTTTGGAAAATACTCGTCTCCTCATCCTCGGAATAAATCCTGAAAATCACCACAAAATACGGAGAAGTACGCCAAAAATATAAAATAAAACGAAAGACACGAAAATATACGGAAAATGACAAAATGGACCGGACGACACTAAAACGAACCTAAAACTAACTCAATAATCACAAATAAACACATAAAAATAAGCACAAAAACATAACAAACAACTCCCCCACACTTAGCTTTTTGCTTGTCCTCAAGCAAACAAAATAACAAATAGCTCGAAGAGATATATTGAACGGTCCAAAATTAACGAACATGCGAAATGAGACTCTCATTATCATCCGGTTATCCCAAAATCAAAATCCAATCCGAGA